AATCGACTTGATGGCAACAGGTTTGGGTTTTTTGTTTGTTTTTTGCATTGCAGCATAGCCTGGGTTATGCTGATGAATACAGTGACCATAGCTGATTTTGCCTCTTTACTAATAGCTAACACTATCAAGTACTACTCTATGCCAGGCACTGAGCTATAAGTTCCATATCCATTACCTAATATCTTACAACAACCTTCTGAGATCCCAAGAGAAAATGGAGGACGTTCTTCCTTTCCTCCTATTATGTTAGAAATATTGTCTTTCCTTCTAGCTGAAGCCAATCCCTCCACATGTAGTCTGGATGCCATCTTCTCTAGCCTCTTTCCTTACATTATTGATTATTCCCTCACTCTCCTGAATCTCCATTCTCTCCCTTTCTATTCAGTCTTTCCCCTCAGCATGTTCAAGTCTCTCCAAGCTTAATAAAATGCTTTATCCAACTCACTTCCCCCTTCAACTAGTGTCTCCCCTCCCCTCCTATCCCAAGCTCTCTAAAGCGCTCATTTTCACTTCTTTGCCCAGCTTCTCCTGCACTCCAACTACTCCAATATTGTTTCTTCCTTCATCACTGTACCAACACAGCTCTTTTTAACACCATTAAGGAGCCCTGGTGGTACAATGGTTAAGCACTTGGCTGCTAACCAAAAGGTTGGCGGTTCGAACCCACCTAGCCTCTTCGAGGGAGACAAGACCTAGTGATCTATTCCCATAAAGATTACAGTCTAGAAAACTCTATGGGGCAGTTCTACTCTGTCACATGAGTTGGAATCGACTTGACAGCACATAACAATGATCTACACATTGCTAAATTTAGTGGACAGTTAATCTTACTTAAGTTTTCATCTTAATTTCTCAGCATTATATGGTGTAATTGAAGATACCCTCCTTGTCAAAACACTATTCCATTGGCTTCTCTGACATGGCATTCTATTGTTTTTCCACCTCCCTCTCTGGTCATTCTGTCTCCTTTTCAGCTTCATGATCCTTTGCTGAGCCATTAAATATTGACATTCTTCAAGACTCATCCTAGCCTCTCTTTTCTCATTCTGTAGTCACTGTCCAGGCCTTCCCCTGTTCCCATGGCTGCTATTGCCACATATACCCAGACATCCCACAAATAATGTGCCTCCATCTGGGGCTTCTGCCCACCAATTGCCTGCTCAGTTCAGCACCTCCACTCTGATGTCTCAGTATGCTCAAGGGTGAGCTCCACATGTTCTCTCTGCCCCACCTACCTAACTCTAAACCTGCCTGCTCCTTCCTCAGTGCTCCCCATCTCAGTAAATGGCACTGCCCTCCCTCTGTTTGCTTATGTTGGAAACCTGGGAGTAGGGCTGGATCAGTACCTTCAGGGGTGCTCAGCACCAAAACATAGTGTATTTTGAAGTAAAAATAAATGAAAGCATATCATAATGAAAGAAAATCCTTAAAAATTCTGATTTTTCAGGGGACCTCATACCATCAAGAAAGCAGTGCCGGGAGCAGAGCGCGTCCTTTGGACCCGGGTCCCTGCGCAGACAAGCTCCTAGTTCGGGGGAACACGGAAGAGAAGAAGGCCAACGGAGAGAAAAAGCCTTCCCCTGGAGCTGACGCTCTGAATTTGGACTTTCAGCCTACTTTGACTGTGAGGAAATAAACTTCTCTTCGTTAAAACCATCCACTTGTGGTATTTCTGTTATAGCAGCACTAGATGACTAAGACAGAATTTGGTACCGAGACAGTGGGGTGCTGCTCTAACAGATACCTAAAATGTGGAAGCAGTTTTAAAATTTTGAATGTATAAACGTGCGGCAGTGACAGAGGACCAGCAGCAGCAGAGAACCAACAGCAGCAGAACCAGGAGACCAGTGCAAGACAGCACTGGAACCAACCCAGGAGTGCCTATGCGCAGGAGGCTTCCTGGCGGAGGCGGGTGCCTCTGGGTACTTGTTGGTAGAGCTAGGCTTGCCGACCCGTGGAGCAAGAGAGCCGAGTGCCTGTGTGCACGAGGCTTTCTGGAGGAGTGGGGTGCCTCTGGGCACTTATCGGTGGAGCTACAGAGCTTTGGAACACTTGCCCCAGCAGGGCAGATGAGGGCGTGAGGCCTGAGGGCCAAGAGGCCACAGGAAGCAGAAGCTGAAGAGACTAGGGTCACAAGAAGCTGAGCTGCCTCAGTCTCAAAAGGTGGACCTCAGGGGTTTCAAAGGGTGGAGCCATGGCTTCTGGTGCTTCTAAGGGTGGAGTTGCCACTCAGATGGACTGGAGAATGGAGCGCCTAAAGCCAATGGAGCAGAGTTGCTATCCCAGTGGGCCTGGAATTCAGAGCTGAAGCCCAGGGCCGAGGGGCCTCCACTCAGAATCTGGAGAATGTGGCCAATACCTAGAGTCTGGAGGGCAGGGCTATTGTGTAAATTGTCTCAGAGAACAGAGGATTATTTTCAAAGCCTTGAGGGCTAATGTAATGCGTTCTGCTGACTTGCTTGGTGCCTGTTATCACTTCTTTTCCTCTAGTTTCTCCCATTTGTAATGGAAATGTCTAACTTGTACCTGTTCTGCCATTGTACCTTTGGAAGCAAATAACTTGTATTCTAGATTTCACAGATGAAGAGGAATTTTTGGATTTTGGACTTGGAGTTAAGACTTTTGCTATGATATGATGGGGTGAATATGTTTTCCATGTTGCAAGGATGTGATTTTTTGGGGGCCAAAGGGTGGAATGTCATGGTTTGAATTATGTCCCCCAAAAAATGTGTGTATCAATTTTCCTGGGCCATGATTCCCAAAATTGTGTGGTTGGCCCCCATTTTGTGATTGTAATTTTATGTTAAAGAGGATTAGGGTGGGATTGTAACACCACCTTTACCCGGGTCACATCCCTGATCCAATGTAAAGGCAGTTTCCCTGGGGTGTGGCCTGTACCACCTTTTATCTCTCAAGAGTCAAAAGGAAAGGGAAGCAAGCAGAGAATTGGGGACCTCATACCATCAAGAAAGCAGTGCCGGGAGCATGGTGCATCCTTTGGACAGGGGTCCCTGCACGGAGAAGCTCATAGTCTGGGGGAACACTGATGAGAAGGCCAACAGAGAGAGAAAGACTTCCCCTGGAGCTGATGCCCTGAATTTGGACTTCTAGCCTACTTTGACTGTGAGGAAATAAACTTCTCTTCGTTAAAACAAAAAAAAAAAAAAATCTGATTTTTCTCATGGTAACTATTATGATGCCATTTAAAAGAATATCAAATGTTTTCCAAAAATATATTTAGGGTACCTTCTTTGCTGTTGAAGGAGCCCTGGTGGCACAGTGGTTAAGCGCTCAGCTGCTAACCAAGAGGTCAGCGGTGTGGTTGGAACTCACCAGCCACTTTTGGAAGAAAGACCTGGCAATCTGCTCCTCTAAAGATTAGAAGCTAGGAAACCCTATGGCGCAGTTTTACTGTTTCCTGTAGGGTCGCTATGAGTGCAAATGGACTCCACAGCACTGAGTTTGGTTTTTTGGTTTCTTTGCTGTTGTGCAGTGAGCACTGCCTAGAAGTCAACAATCAGACATCACTTCCTGTGGATATGACTTCCTAAAGTGTTTTGAAATCTGCCTGCTTCTCTCCAGTGCCAATGCTACCACCCTAGTACAAGCTAGCGTCTCCACTTGTCTGAATTCCTGCAATAGCCTCTGAAGCCCCCCAACCTGCTCCAGTTTTTTCTCCAGAGAGCAGCCAGGTGAAATGATTTCAGGAACACATATAACTGATCCCGTCACTCCCCTGCTTAAAACTCCTCAATGGTTTCCCATTATCCTTTGGATAAAATCTCAGATCCTTAACCAGTCCCAAGAGCCTGCCCCTTCGCCATGAGCCAGCCTCACCTCTTTGAGTTCCTGAAAAGAACCAAGCTCTTATAAGCCTTTGCACACCATTACTCTCTGCTCAGCTCTTTCACCCCTCCCAGCTTCTAATTCTTTACTTCTTAGATTTAATGCCCTTTCTTCAGATAAGCCTTTCTTAACCTCCAACACCAGGTCAGTTAAAAACAAAAACGAAAAAATACCCTAACTCCTTGCGGTCGAGTGGAACTGCCGCGTAAGTTTCCAAGGAGTGGCTGTTGGATTTGAACTACGACCTTTTGGTTAGCACCCTGAGCTCTTAACCACTGCACCACCAGGGCTCCACTGGGTCAGTACTCCTTGTTAAATATTTTAGTAACGTCACTATTCTTTGTAAGTAAGTGATTATTTGTGTATTATGTAGTTCAATCCCCCCTCCCCATTTTGATGTAAACTCCCTGAGAAAGGTTCTAACATGCTTTAGTACACAAGGAATTCATGGATTCCTGAATCCGGCTTTGATTCTAGGGCCCATGCCCACAACTACTACATGTACATAATGTTACTCATCATGGAAGATGGTGTTTTGGCTCTTTATTTTATGATGGCCAAGTGCTGATGCAGGCTGGACTGGCTAAGCTGGACTCCAGCTTTCCCATTGTATAATCTTGGGCCAGCTCCACATCTTTATATGGGGTAACATTAACCACCTTACAGGGGTATAATATGATCCATTCAGTCAGTAAATATGTACTGAGCATCTAGTATATGCCCAGCTTTAGTCTGTATGCTAGAAATACAAATGCAATTTAGGATTTAGTGTTTAGCAGAGTGCCGAGCTCAGTAATGTTATAGTCACTATTACCAGATTATCATAATTGTGTGCCAACGTATGTGTCACAAAGCTCAAGCAAGAGCGTATATTTGTGACGTTTGCCACTATTCGGGCGGGGTCCCTATTAGACCTAGGTGTACAGCATAAGCGTGAGCATTCAAGAGGATCACTGCGCGGCGTGGCCACCCCCACCCCTCCGAGCCGCCAGAGGGCGCGAGGCCGCTACCGTCCTGCCCGCTGCGTGTGCGCCTGCGCCTGCGCCGCAACGGCATCCTGGCCCCATTCCGCCCCGCCTCGCGCCCCAAGGCTCCGCCTCCGTTGCCCCTAGCGGCTGTTTGTTGACTTCCGGGAACGCGCTCGTTGCTGATGCCAGGAGTGTCGCTATGGGGGTCCTCGGGGATTCCGCCGACCGCGACGGGGCTGAGCTGCTACTTTAGGTGCAACCGAGTCGCCCCCGCCGCCCTCTCGGCCCAGGCGCCGGCTCCCTGTACCGTCCCGGGCATGGCGGAGCCCCACGAGTTGGTGCCCGGTGAGTCTTGCCCGCGGCGGTGGCGGCGGGCGGGGAGGGAGGGTCCGCGGGCGGGCAGGCGGCCAGGCCCCGCCTCTGGACAGGCCCCGTCGAGGGACCGGCCTGAGCCGAGGCGGCCCAGCAAGGCCTGAGCCCTGGCCGCGCCCCCGGAAATTACTGAGAGGAGAAACGAGGAGGAGAGGGGGCAACAGGGGTGGGAGTTCCTGCTTTTCTTCTTCAAAAACAAGTTTTCAATGAGTTTGTAGCTCTGCTGCTAACCAAAAGGTCGGCCGTTCATATCCACCAGCCGCTCCATGGAAAGAAACCCTATGGGGCAGTTCTGCTCACTTCTATAGGGTCGCTGTGAGTCGGAATCGACTCCACGGCAGTGGGTTTGGTTTATAAACTCAAAGTACATACTTCAGAATTGTGCTCGTTGAGGTTCCCAGGTCCTAGTTGTGTACTGAATGCGTTAAAAACTGAGTGACCAGGGAGTATGAGACAAAACAGGGTGCAGGGGAATGTCTTGGAGAAAGGGGGAGAAGACGGATTCTTTAGCGAAGGTGATCTTTTATATGAGCTCCACAGTTAGAAATACAGTTTACATTGTGACTTTTAAAAAAAAAAAAGTTTCCATCGAGTCGATTCTGACTCAGAGCGACCCTATAGGGCAGAGTAGAACTGCCCCATAGGGTTTCCAAGGAGTAGCTGGTGCGTTTGAGCCGCCCACCTTCTGGTTAGCAGCTGAGCACTTAATCACTGCGCCACCAGGGCTTCACATTGTGACTAGGTATCGCATAAATAGATGTAACAGAAGTAGACGTTTCACGAAGGGGTACTTACTCTAACCACTTGGGATGCCCTCAAGTGTTTTCTATAATTCATTCCTTTAAAAATTCTGATTGTGACCCACTAAGTTGATTTACTGACCCACTAATGGGTTACAACCAACAGTTTGAAGAAACACTAGGTTATAATAGAATCATGGCTTTAATTCAAATATGTATTGCTTTTTCTGCCGTGCTCTTGGCTCTAACATGATTAGATTCCTACCCTCCTGGAGGTCACAGTTTAATGAGAGATAGAAGAAAGTAAAAATGACAGTACAGTTTGACAGTAGATACTAGGGGGCCAGAACAGGGCCACCAAGCCCTGGCTTGAGGTAGGGGTATCAGGGAAGGCTTCCTAGGGAGACAAAGCAAGACCAAACAGTTAAAATGATTCAGTCTGGGGAAACCCAGAGCATTCTAGAACTTGGCTTCCCAACTCTCAATTATCGGTTTAAACTATGATGCCTCACAAAGGTTCTGAAAAGGTTTTCAATAGTGGCTAGTCTCATGCACATTGATATTTATCATTAATACTTATATTTGCTATGTTTTCCTTTCTGGTCCCATTAGTTTCTTTATGCATGATCATCCTCCTTGGGATTTCCTCAAAAGCTGGATCTGGACCCTTATTTAGGGGCTGTGTGTATTGGTGTAAATGGTTAACATGCTTGGCTGCTAACCTAAAGGTTGGAGGTTTGAGTCCACCCAGAGACACTTCAGAAGAAAGGCCTGGCAATCTACTTTTGGGAAAAAATTGGCCATCAAAACCCTATGGAGTACAGTTGTACTCTGACACACATGAGGTCACCATGAGTCAGAGTCGACTCCATGGCAACTGGTACTGATAGGAGCTAGTAGGGGTTTTTGGTTTTCTCTCAGTAATGGTATTGGACCAAAACAGTTTGTGAATACTACTCAAATCAAGTGGTATTTAATGGCTTAATTTAAGAATGTTAAATATCAACACACATACCCCCATCTCCTAGGCCCATGGCATATTATAATGGTGTTTTGTAGAACAGAATAAACCATCCTTTCCCATATAGTGCTTTTGGAGAGAGAAAAAGACATTTCCATAACTGTCGTACATCAGTTAGATAAAAATGGGAAGCTTCCCGGCTAGCTCTGTTGAGAGGATCCTTTCATTTTATACTGGATCCCTAAACATTCTGAATTCCCCTCAGTGGAAATATGAGGAAAAGCTGAAATGTTGCTCTGTTGAAGACTTGAATAATCCGCTGTCTTTAACATTAAAAGTGTTAAAAATTATATTTGACTACCTGCCCACCAGAATAATGACCCGTGTTTTGAATATATGTGTGTATGTGAGGGGGAACTTTTCTGCATGTAAAGTAGAACAGACCTAAAAATAGCGGATGTTTACTGAAGGACTAGTTTGTGCCAGGCAATATCGGTAGTGTAGAGAGTTTACACTCTTGATAACCTGAAAATATAGTTGAGAAAACAAAGTATTGATCAACACAAAGATTGTGAAACAGTTTGATTAGGAAGAGAGGTCACTAGGTAGTACATAATTAATTGTCATATAAATTCTATAGGTCATATAGTTCAGAGAAGCCAATGATCATTTCCAACTATTATGGTAGTAGAAGAGTTTCCAGAGAAGAATATAATCTAGCCTGTTGGGGATGCCAAGCACTACACTAGGTTCTTTACACATGTTATTTTATTTATTCCTCACAACAGCTCCATGAGATTGGTTACACATTGTACATTTATTCAGCCAACCTGTATTGGGTTTGTATGGTCAGGTACTGTTCTAGATTTAGGGTATATAAAAATGAATATTAGTACTGAGATCCTATCCCAATAAAGAGCATAGTCTATTGAAGAGGAAACTAAGGCTCAGTTAAGTGATCTGTCCAGGATCATATAGCTAATTATTAGCAGAGTCAGAATTTGAATACGTGGCTGCCTGTTTTGTTTTTCCAAGCTATCTTCCCATAGTGTGATTGAAAGAGATAGTGTTTGAATACTTTTTTCTCTGTTTTGCCTCTAATTTTATGGGCATTCATAAAATTACCAATAGCGAAAATAAGAGTTCACCATGTGTGGTGATGTTTTAACCTTTAAATGAGAACATTTGTGATTCTCTGGAAAAACTAGACCAAAGAAAATCCCAACTGAATTATATAGAGCCTGCCCATGGAGACCCTCATGATGCTGATGATGAAACTCAATACTGTCCCGTTTCTGTGTGTGGAGAAAAGCCCTCAGTCAGAGGGCAGAGCAGAGGTGCTAACCAGAGTGAGCAAACCACGAGTTATAACAGCTAGTTCCAGGGACCAGACGGTGCACCTGGTAATAGCAGGGGTTAGGAATAGGTCACTACCTTCCTTGTAATAGTGTATTTCTTACTTTACATTTGTAAATGAATAGTATGTATTCAATTTTGTAGATTTCATAGATCAAACTAGAATGAAGTCTGAAGACCGTAAGACTGAATGAAGACGGAAGGAGGGCTTAAACAGGGCTGGAGCAGACATGAAATTCATCTAGATAAATTACTGAAAAAAATATTTTAATAATAGGAATATAGTAAAAATTCTAAAATATCTTTTATTTTCAGATTCTGGTGCTGTGTTTACCTTTGGAAAAACCAAATTTGCTGAAAATGTTCCTAGCAAGTTCTGGTTTAAAAATGATATACCTGTATATCTTTCATGTGGAGATGAGCATACTGCTCTTATTACAGGTTAGTATTAAAATCTTAAATGAGGGTAATAATATTTAAAGAATTTGAAATATTATAGATGTGCTGTGTTTTTTTTTTTTTTATGGTAAAAATGTATATAACAAAACCATCTCAACAACTTCTGCATGTACAGTTCAGTGATATTGATCACATTCTTCAAGTTGTGTAACTATTCTTGCTATCCTTTTTTAAATCACTCCACCAGATGTGCTGTTTTAAGTGTTGAAAATATATAGAAAGTTTTTTTCAATGTTGCCAGAGAATTCTTCCCAAATTGATTCATCAAGAGAATATTTTAAATTCCAAGCTTCTTTAGTATATTTAAAATACAATTCTTTGTATGTATAAATTTCTTAAAATAAATCTGTTGTAATATATCTATATACACCTCACTTATCAACTATCTCATTGTCTGACATTTCATATTTATGACAATAATTTAAAAAAATCTACTATTGGGCTATTTTGCACATTAATGATGTACATCTGGCAGTAATGAACGCTGAGGTGTGAGGTGAGAGTAACACTGGCTGTGATGGTTAAGGTTATGTGTCAACCTGGCTGTGCTATGATTCTCTGTGGTTTGTCAGTTATATAATGATGTAATATGTCAGTTATATAATGATACAGTCATCCTCCATTTTGTGATCTGATGTGGTCATCCTCCATTTTCTCATCACACCAATTTTCACATAACGACCTGGTCTTTGGAACCCAACCACGTCAATAAGAGAGGAGTGGGTGTAATTGAAAAACTTATTGTTTAATTATAGAAACTCTTTAACACCTAATAGGATGTGGCTATATGTAGATGTGTAAAGTAACCTATTTCAGCATGAAAAAGCACTGATAATTCTAAGTATAGTTTTTTTTATTGCTTTGTGATGACTTCATCTCTTATTACTTTTTGAAAAATGCATAAATTTCTTTCTTTCTTCCTCCCATCAGGAAATAATAAACTTTACATGTTTGGCAGTAACAACTGGGGCCAGTTAGGATTAGGATCGAAATCAGCTGTCTACAAACCAACCTGTGTCAGAGGTTTGGGGTCGTCTTTATCTTTTTAAATACTTAGCAAGCTCTATAAACTACTTTTATATTGGTCATGTAGTTCTTTAATGTCATAAGTAATAAAGTCCTTAGTTCTTTATTTTATGGTATTTGTTTGAATATCATTAGTATTTAAATTTTTATGTGACATCCAGAACTACTTTTATTTGTTAGGGTCTATGAATCATATTGATTTTAAACCCAATGACCACAAAAGAATGAATGGTTCTACAATGTTGCACTTGAACATTCTTTTTGTTTTTTGCTTGTTTATGAAACTACTTAAATATTACTATTATTGTGTATAAAGACAAACTGGACTGAAGAAAATCTAAAGTGTCTTACATAGGTCCTCACAGTTACTCTCAAATTATAACTTGTAAAAATCTTGAGCTCTCTCTTATTTGTTAGAGTTGTGGACATCACACTTCCATGTAGTTGCTGGTTATATAAAACATACTTCACCCTGCTGTACGTAGCAAATAGGTTTACTGAACAAAACACAGAGGCCAAGGGTTGCTTAGTACTAGCATTCTTACAAGAACAACAGAGCAAAATATTTGGAATCGAGACTCTCCCAGAAAATACAGAATGTATAATAATAGCCTTTACAAAGGTTTCTTGCTTTTATTTTCAAAACCTCTGTTTGGGTACAACCTGTGAACATAAACTAAACTCGAAGGTTGTTAGAGATTCCTTGGGATGTGACAAAAGCAGTATTCTTTATCTTTCTGGCCAAAGTTTTTATTTTAGCTCAAAATTTCAATATAATTTACACTCCCATGCTATTTATTGATATTGTTAACCTTTAAAGTATTCTACGTGGTCAAAAAGTGTTTATTGAGCACAGTCTGCTAAACACTTAGTGTATCCACAGTGACTGTGGTCCTTACTCTCAAATATCTTACGTAATAGGTAAACTAACAGGATGTTAACATTGTCTAGACTGTAAGATCCTTGAGACCAGGGACCCTGTCTTTATCATTCTTGCAGCCCTTATGCTAAGCATTTAGGAGCTGCTCAATAAATATTTTTTGAATAAATAAATGAACAACTTTAACATAGATGTATGCCTATGAATATTGAACTTACAGTTCTTCATTGAGTGGGGGGAAGGTAAGCTTGAAAATGGTGATGGTAGGATAGGTAATGGATCAGGTTAGTGAGGAAACATTTTCTAGGAGGCAGCATAAGAGAGTGCACTAGGTCTCAGCACATATTAATTACCTATGGAATTAAAAAAAATATATATATATATATAGGTGCCTAGGCCCCATCTCGGCCCTACTGACTCAGATTCTCCAGGGGTGAGGCTCAGCTGGCTATATTTTTTCGAAGTTCCACTAGTTATTATAATGCAAAACCAGTTCTGAAAAACTCCAGCACAACTAGATGGTGCCTGGCTACCAACACCAACTGCTGTGACAGGGATCACAATAGAGGGTCCTAGACAGAGCTGGAGAAAAATGTAGAACAAAATTCAAACTCACAAATAGATACCAGACTTAACTGGTCTGGCAGGGACTGGAGAAAGCCTGAGAGTATGGCCCCCGGACACCCTTTTAGCTCAGTAATAAAGTCACTCCCGAGGTTTACCCTTCAGCCAATGATTAGACAGGCCCATAAAATGAACAATAATACATGTAGCTCAACCATGTATACAAGACTAAATGGGCACAGCAGCCCAGGGGCAAGGATGAGAAGGCAGGAGGGGACAGGAAAGTTGGATAAATGGAAATGAGGAACCCACAGTCAAGAAGGGGAGAATGTTGACAAGTTGCAGGGTTGGCAACCAATGTCACAAAACAATATGTATATTCATTGTTTAATGAGAAACTAATTTGTTCTGTAAACTTTCCTCTAAAGTGCAATTAAAAAAAAACAGCTAGTTCTGAAAATCTCTGCTTTAGTAGTTAAGAACATAGACTTTGGAGTCAGACAGACCTGAGTTTAAATCTCATTTTACCACTTAGTTACCATTTGACCTGGATTATTTATCATTTTCATAAGTAAAAAATATTTTAATTGTCATATTTTTGTATTTTTAGCTTTAAAACCTGAAAAAGTGACATTTGCTGCCTGTGGAAGGAACCACACCCTGGTTTCAACAGGTAGAGTATGCAATCTAGATGACTTCCTGCCTGATTTTGAGGACTGAGGTCTCATTCCAGTAACATCTGTGGCTTTGTAAAATTAATAGAAATGATACCTTGGCAACAGTAAGATTAGGATTTTTTTAAATTTTCTCCCATACAAAAATTTAAACATACACTGTTATGTGACTCTAATTGCTCTCCACATACTGTGACAGCACACTCCTCCTTTCCATCCCTGGTTCCCCATGTCCATTCAACCAGCTCCTGACCCTCTCTGCCTTCCCATCTCACCTCTGGACAGAAGCTGCCCATTTAGTCTCTTTTATCTACTTGAGCTAAGAGGCACACTCCTCACGAGTATCCCTTTATGTCCCACAGTCCAGTCCAATCCCTGTCTGAAGAGTTGGCCTTGGAAATTGTTTAAGTTCTGGGCTGATAGAGAATCCAGGGGCCGTGCTTTCTGGGGTTCCTCCAGTCTCAGTCAGACCATTAAGTGTGGTCTTCTTACTGGAATTTGAGTTCTGCAGCCCTCCTTTCTCCTGCTCCATCAGGACTCTGTTGTGTTCCTGGTTAGGGTGGTCCTTGGTGGTAGTCGGGCACCATCTAGTTCTTCTGGTCTCAGGCCAATGCAGTCTCTGGTTTATGTGGCCCTTTCTGTCTCTTGGGCTAATACTTTCCTTGTGTCTTCGGTGTTCTTCATTCTTCTTTACTCCAGGTGGTTGGGAGCAATTGATACATCTTAGATGGCCACTTGCAAGCTTTTAAGACCCCAGATGCCACTCACCAAAGTAGGATGCAAAACAATTTCTTAATAAGCTTTTGTATGCCAATTGACCTAGATGTCCCCTGAAAGCATGGTCCGCAGACCCCTACCGCCAAGATTAGGATTTTTTAAAATGTAAATCATTAATACTCTTGTTTACCTTTGAAAATGTGAGATAAATGTTAAATGGCTGAAGCAAAAGCTTTTTTTCTCACATTATGTCAAGGGACAGCATCTTCTTCCCTGTGCACACACCTTAGGGCTGGTTACTCCTCCTGCTCTTCCTAATTCCTTACCGAGGATGAGTGGAAGCCACCCAAAAGGCTATTGGTGTGAGTCAGTGCAATCCCAATCAAAATATAAACAAGCTTTTTTTCTGTATGTGTGTAAAAACTGACAGGGTGATTCTAAAATATGGAAAAGCAGAGGTCCTAGACTAGCCAAAACAATTTTGAAAAAGAACAAAATTGGAGGACTCACGGTACCTCATTTCAAGACTTACAAAGCTACAATAATCAAGACAGTGGGATACTAGAGAAAAGATTGACACACATTAATGAAACAGAATCCAGAAATAGACCCACAGGTGTACGCCCAACTGATTTTTGACAAAGGTGCCAAGGCAATTCAATGGAGAAAGGAAAGCATCTTCAACAAATGCTGCTAGAACAGTTAGACACCCAGGCCCTGCCCACTGGGGGTCCTACCTCCTTTCCCACACACAGCTTCTTCTGTGGGCAGGCTGTTCCCATTTCCTTGGTTTCTCCTCATCTCTCTGCCCTCACTCATATTTTTCCAATTCTGAAATGACTCTTCTCTTTCTCTTAGCCTATTCAATTTCTGCTTTTCTTTTGAGGTCTGTTGTAAGTCTTACTTCTTTGTAGAGCTCTTTGTGATATTCAGCTTTACACTCATCTAGTTCTCCTCTGAATTACTTCAACATATTACCAACTCTGGTTTGTTTTCATATATGTTAAATTATACAGGCCAATTCCATACAGCCTTGCATTATCCTCCATTTGTAAGCTAGTCCTGTTTCCTCAATTAGCTTTCATTCTTATCTGAAATAATATCTAACTTTAAAATTTTACTGATTCAGGCTGATTTTCCCCTCATTCCCCTGCAATTTCGTGAGGGTTTTCCTTCATGTGCATTTGTATGATAGATAGCTAATTTAATATATAGGTATTTTTTAAAAAGCCTCATTAATTTAGGGCTTACCGGAAATGTTTGCAGTCTAGGCATGATGTACTTCTTATTTAATTAAGAAAGTAACTACAGACATTTATATAGTGCTTACAGTGAGCCAAATGCTGTCCTAAGCATTTTATAAATGTTGATTAATTTAATCCTCATAACAACTCTATGAAGTAGAGTTAAAATTATTATCCCAGTTTTACAGATGAGGAAAATGAGACACAGAGAGGTTAAGTTTTGCCTAAGGTCACACGGCTGGTAAGTAGCAACCTGAAATTTGCACCCAGGCAATCTGGCTCTGGAGTCTTTCTTCCTAAATGCTGTGCTAAACTGCCTTGCTGTTTAGCTAAAAATTTAAAATAATCGCATGACGTAGAAGTTTCATGTTTCTGATTACATTCTTTGTGGATTTGCCTCGTTTTACTTATTTGTGCCTATTATATCTTTGCTTTAATTGACAGGGAAGTTAAAATTAATGAACCACATTTTGTTTAAAATAGTTTGATTTGGATTTTAAACGAATTTGAAAATTGCTTTCCTCCTTTTTGTTCTGAATTAACGAAGTTCTGCATTAGCAAGAAAGCACATTCCACACATTCTATGCATTTCAGTTGCTAGTTAAAATCTAGAATGATTTATAAAATCTCAAAAAAAGGTGTGGTCTTGCTTGTGTAGGGTTATTTTTGACAATGAAATGAAGTTGTTCAACAAAAAAATAAGATAATGACAGCTTTCAGCTTTCTTTACTATTAATAGGGTAAATACCTGTTATACATTGTCCTGTGTCATAAGGAGGGTGACTATAGTCTACTGATGTAGTTTTCTTTTCTGTGAGCAGAAGAAGGCAATGTATATGCAACTGGAGGAAACAATGAAGGACAGCTGGGACTTGGTGATACTGAAGAGAGAAACTCTTTTCATCTAATTAGCTTTTTTACATCCCAACATAAGATCAAACAGCTGTCTGCTGGTTCTAACACTTCAGCTGCATTAACTGGTAAGATTTTTTTTTTCCATTTCAAGGTGGGACACATGCCTTTCCTTTAGACCAGGGTATACAAACTCTTAGTGAACTGAAGACAACATTGCTGTTTAGTTTTCCTTCCTTGGCTATTTGTTTTCAGAAAAGATTAAAAGATACAATTTAAATCACGAGCTATAGTACAATTTTATGCTTAGAGTTAGATATAAACATACATTTAGAAGGTAATCGTTAAATAATTCTAAGCTATGCTGTCTGTCTACTCCTTTAAACCAAAACAACCAAACCTGTTCCTGTTGAGTCAATTCTGACTCATAGCGACCTCGTGTGTCACAAAGTAGAACTGCTCCGTAGGGTTTTCTTGGCTGTATTCTTTTTTTTTTTTAATTGTATTTTAGGTGAAGGTTTACAGAACAAATAGTTTCTCATTAAACAGTCAGTACACATATTGTTTTATGACATTGGATAAAAACCCCACAACATGTTAACAACCCCACGACACAACTCTCCCAGACCTTTTTTTTTGTGAAAATATACATAGTCAAAGATACACCATTTCAAAAATTTGTACATCCACAGTTCAGTGGCATCGATTACGTTCTTCCAGTTGTGCTGCTATTCTCACTTTAGATGAAGGTTTACAGAACAAAATAGTTTCTCATTAAACACTTAGTACACATGTTGCCCTATGACAATGGTTAACAACCCCACTGCATGTCAACACTGTCCTTACTCAACCTTGAGTTCCCTATCACCAGCTTTCCTGTCCCTTCTGCCTTCTACTCCTTGTCCCTGGACTGCTGTGCCTCATTAGTCCCATTTTGTTTTATGGGGCTGTCCAATCCCCGGCTGAACGGTGAACCTCGGAAGTGACTTCACCACTGAGCTAAAAGGGTGTCCTGGGGCCATACTCTCGGGGTTTCTCCAGTCAGGCCAGTAAATCTGGTCTTTTGTGTGTATGTTAGAATTTTGTCCTACATCCTTCTCCAGCTCTGTCCAGGACTGTCTGTTGTGATCCTGGTCAGAGCAGTCAGTGGTGGTAGCCAGGCACCATCTAGCTGTACTGGACTCAGTCTGGTGAAGGCCATGGTAGCTGTGGTCCATTAGTCCTTTGGACTGATCTTTTCCTTGTATCCTGTTCTCTTCATTCTTCCTTGCTCCCAAAGGAGTGAGACTAGTGTAGTATCTTAGATGGCTGCTCACAGGCTTTTAAACCAAGGTAGAATGTAGAACACTGTCTTAAACTGTGTTATGCCTATTGAGCTAGATGTTCCCCAAGACCATGCTCCCCACAGCCCTCTGCCCATAGGCTGTATTCTTAATGGAAGCTAATTGCCAGGCCTTTCATCCATGGTACCACTGAGTAGATTCAGATTGCCAACTTTTAGGTTAGGGGTTGAGCAGAAACCGTTTGTGCCACCTACAGACCTATCTTTAGATACTCTTGGATATAATCTTCATTGTATACTTTGAAAGTTATACTTGCAGCTTTAACTGAAAGTTGCTATCAGAAACATCCATAGAAATCCGTTTGGGTATATGCTGTAAAGGCCCTGGGTGGTGCAAGCAGTTAATGTGCTCGGCTGCTAACTGAAAGGTTGGAGGTCCGAATCCACCCAGAGGCACCACAGAAGAAAGGCCTGGTGACCTACTTCCCAAAAAATAAGCCATTGAAAACCCCCACACAGTTCTACTCTGGCACACACGGGGTCAGCATGAGTCAGAGTCAACCTGGTGGCAACTGATATGTTGTGAAAATACGGTTTGTAGAGGTCATTGCATCTATGCACTCCCTATCAAAAGTCTATGTGAGAAATGTCTTTAAAATTTGGGGCCAGGATAAACTTGGTCTCACTGAGGAAGCTGCTGATATGCTTCTTTGTTCCAGTCAGTGAGCTCTGTAGCTAACCATGTTGCTCTGGCTCTCAGAGAAATCAGAGTCCCAACTGAAGTGCCATCCTTTCAATTTTGTCAGCCCTAATAGTTACCAATTTGGCATTCTTCCCTTGGTTCTTATTTTCAATTTCCATTTCATTTGCCTTATTATTAAACTACTTCAAAGATTAAAATTAATTCAAAGATATAAGTAAATAAGGATTGATAATTCCTTCCTAAAATATTTTGCCTGATTTAACTTTTCTGACATCAAAGCTCTTAGCAGAAAGGACATAAGCTAATATCTCCACTCATTCTGAAGCTAGATTTTGTCTTTTGAAGTGTAAATCATAAAAACATTAGTAAAATCTATTTCCTGTGTTTTTACTTCCTTTAAAACATTGCTTCCACAGTGTTCTCAAGAGAAAGATTGTCCAGGTACTTTTGACCTGAGAATGGCCAGTGCTACTCACTCTATCTTTCAGTTTAGTTGCACGTACACTGTTCGAAAGGAGGAAATCATTTTCCATTTAGAGACATTATAATAAGAAAAGGTATTATAGGAAAGAACAGTCTGTTTTTACTATCAAGATAGAAATATGGACATGAATAAAGTGATTTAAAATCGGATTATGCTCTGTATTTTATTATGGAAGCATTTCATAGTAGAAATTAAACTCTTAAGTAGCTAGCTGCAATAAATGTGTTAGTAATACTTCTCTTTCAAAACAGAAGTTTTCTAAATTAAAAAACAAATGGTTTCTTGGGAATATAATAGCTTTATAGCCCTGGTTCATTGGTAGAATTCTTGCCTTCTGTGTGGGAGACCTGGGTTTGATTTCTGGCCGTTGCACCTCATTAGCAGCCACCACCTGTCAGTGGAGGTTGCTATGATGCTGAACAGGTTCCAGACTAAGATGGACTAGGAAGAAAAGCCTGACGATATATTTCTGAAAATCAGCCATTGAAAACCCTTTGGATCACAATCATCTGATCCACAACTGATCATGGGGATGGTGTAGGACTGGGCAGCGTTACTTTCTGTTGTGCATGGGGTCGCCATGAGTCCGGGGCCAAATCCACAGCAGCTAACAACAACAACAACATCACCCTGTTTTGTTCTATTTTCTGTTTTCTTTATAGAGGATGGAGAACTTTTTATGTGGGGTGACAATTCTGAAGGACAAATTGGTTTAAACAATATATCTAATGTGTGTGTCCCTCATCAAGTGACCATTGGGAAACCTATCTCCTGGATATCTTGTGGCTATTACCATTCAGCCTTTGTAACAAGTAAGACAAAAACATTTTGGATCCATTATGTTATCTCCCATTTCTAAGTTACTGCTAAATTAATAATAGAATAATGTAACTTAATATTCTGCAGTTCTATAGAAGTAACACCATAGTGGTTCATGTAATGAAATAATTTTAGTCTCTCTCAGGTCACAGGTTTCAGGTTTGTAATTTAAAATTCTCTCTAACATGTTAACTTTTTAAGTGGCTATGAGGTCTGTTAGAAAAACAAAATTGTTATGTTACAAATCCTTTCAAATTTTGGTTCTCAAACTTTTCAGACCCTTTTGGCACTAAAAAAAAAAAAAGACCTATGGACAACTTACCTCTGAACTCATTTGCCTGTATACTTTGATCAGTTATACTCTTGCCCTGATAATTTACTTTTATCGTTTCAAAAAGCAAGTCATAGACTTTCATTTTGGGGATGGAGATTGAGACTAGATGGGAAAGGAAGAGAGATCAGTGTTGGCTCTGACTTCCTGTGGTGGGACTTTTCTCAGCATTCCCAATTCCTCCCTTTCCGGGGCCCATGGGCAACCTTTTCTGCCTCACTTAAAATATTTGAAAGGTTGGGTTCTAACTATTATAGTCTACATCTACACTAGTAATAATAGGAGAAATATGATCACTGGTTTTCTTCTTATTTATGATTTATCTGATAGTAAAAACACCTACAGGATCCTCTTAGATATCTCTCTAAATTTTTGGTTTATACATTTACTCTTTATTCTATGTACCATGGATTCAGGTTTAGAAAGTCCCAGTTGACTCAGTGCCCCCCAAATTTACCAATGAATTGGCGGCAACATGACACCAAGAGAGGACAAACCCTGACAGTATTCCTGGTGTCTTGAACAAATTGATAATCAGTAAGTATTATTGAACAAGGGAGTGAATGAATGAATGATTGATTGCATTCCTTGGGGGCATTAATGCCACCTACCAACTTATTGCCAACTTTAGGGCTCCTGGAGTTGGTGCAGTGCATGCTTTCTTTGTTCGTGAAACAAAAAAACACACAAATGGAAAAATCAACAAAAAAAGTCCAAGCAGCAGCATTGTCTTATATTTAGGTTTTAAGAAAACTGCCAGAATCAATTTTATTAATAAACTCTACTTTAGCCAGTGGGGGAACAAGTGGCATTGTTCGTCTTAACCAACAGGCATTGCATTGAGATTTTTTGTTTGTTTTTTTAAGCAACTTTATTGAGATATAATTCACATACCATACAATTCACCCATTTAAACTGTGCGATTGAATGTTTTTTTTTAATATATATTCACAGATTTGTGCATGCATTGGGCTTTTATACCTTAAGAAATTAGAAAGTTTTCTGTGAGTTCATTTATATCAACTGATAGAATTTATGAACTGTCAGTAATTTTCTCACTAGCCATTATTTAATGACTTTAATTATTTAAAGCAACTTTACAATATTGAAAATAACTTAGGCATAAGGGGTTTTACTAATTATGTATTTCATGATAGATACAATTGTTATAGAGAAAAGGACTATTGTTATCTTTTTCTCTTTGTATGTTGAGTTTGGATACTTAAATAGTTTAATTCTTAATAAAACTGCAGAACATTTTACTGAGAAAAATGGATTCTCTTCATAAAGGGGCAATTCCTATTTCTGATTTCATAGTTCCTTTCTGAGGGAGGTGTGTTCCACCACTGCAGACCTGCCTGTATGATACTTAAGAGTAATGAACTTTGGAATCTGTGCTCCTATGGCTCCAGGGCTCCTTGGGCTAGGAAAGCGTACACTAGAAGCTGGAAGCAGCCCTGGGACTCGTGTCAGCAAACCCTCTGATTATGATCTCTGAACTGGGCTTCAGGAAAGGCTAGACATTAAGTAGCTTCTGTTGCTGCCAGTTGATAGCCCATCATATTCCGAAGGAATTTGAAGTGGTATATTGAATATGTCTACAGGAGGAAAAATGAAAACCTATTCTGCCCCTTAATTAGACTAATCTATCTCTAAACTCACAGTAACCTATTAGACTTTTATTTTATAGCACTAGTTAATGCCCTCAAATGTTGTGTTCCCTCCATGCCTACAGCCTGTTTTTAAGTCTGGACTCAGGATGTCTTTTAGAGCAATAGGCCAATTAGTTAGTTTTGCTGTAAATGGTTAATGGGAACATTTCCTACGTATCATACTGTCTCTAAGATGAGAAGGGAAAACAAACCGAATATTTTTAAGTAGCACTGCTCTGAGGGCTTTTGAAAAGAGAGGGAGAATGCCAGCCTTTTGGAAGTAGAGTAGCAGGTCTCGAGCTACCAGTGAATAGATTGTCCCAAACACTCAGACCCCCCAGTGTATTTTGGCTTCCAGGATTTATATAGAATCAGAAATCCTTCATTAGTTGGAAATTATAAATGTCATTTTTTTTTTCAAAATTATTTGATCATTTTCAGAAAGAAAGGAGAAAAGGTATCCTTAAAGTATGAAAAGAATTCTATAAAAATATTAGAGCAGGCAGAAAAGTTATGTCATATATAGCCAGTAAGTTTATTGCCTTAAATTTTAAACGTTGGTTTAGGCCTCACGCTCTGCCTTGCTAACTCCACTTACAGGTATGTGTTTTCCATACTCACCACACTTGCTGGGCAGTATCTAGCCTTTATGTTTCTCCAGTTGATCTCATAAGTAGTCCAGTTCAGAGTTGAATACTCTATCCTTAAGCATAGCAGTACTACAACTTTTTATATAATACATAAATTCATAAAATGCATGTATTTTGAAAACTCAAAAGAATGATAGACAAATAATTATTAAACATTGGTAATGCAGTTTTGTGGGGTCTCTGGGTGGCGCAGTAGGAGCCCTGGTGGCACAATGGTTAGGCACTTGCCTGCTAACCAAAAGTTGGGCGGTTGAATCCATCAGCAGCTCTGCGGGAGAAAAGACCTGACAACCTGCTCCCATAAAGATTACAGCCTAGAAAACCCTATGGGGTAGTTCTAGTCTGTCATATAGGGTTGCTGTGAATTGGAATCGACTCGACAACACACAAAAACTACTGGGTGGTGCAAACAGGTAAGTGCTCAACTACTAGCCAAAAGGTTGGCTGTTTGAGCCCACCTAGAGGCACCTTAGAAGAAAGGCCTAGTGACCTGCTTCCAAAAGGTCACAGTCTTGAAAACCCTATGGAGCACAGTTCTACTCTGCACACATGGGGTCACCATGAGTTGGAATCGACTTGACAGCAATTAACAACAATGCAACTTATTCTTAAGACCTCTTAGAGATTTTTTAACCCACTTGTTGAGTGCTGTTGAATCAATTTCAACTCATAGATACCCTCTGTGACAGAGTAGAACTGCCTTATAGGGTTTTCTAGGCTGTAATCTTTATGGAAGCAGATCTCCAGGTCTTTCTCCCACAGAGTCGCGGAGTGAGTTCAAACCGCCAACCTTTCAGTTAGCAGCTGAGCTCTTAACAGTTGTGCCACTAGGGCTCCTTTTTAACTCACTAATGTGTTTTAAAGCAGTATCAGCAAGTGTTCATGTTCTAAATTTTATCAAATATTTAGTTTTCAAATATTAGAAATAAAATATATGGAGTTTTCAGATATTGTCCCTGATTTCTACTGTCTTTTCATCTGAGGTGTTAATGGTTGGGTCTGAGCATTTCAATCAATAAGAGCACATTAGGTGATGTACAGTAGGGGATATAAGTAAATAAAATGGGATTGTGGGAACTGGTGTGGTTTGTGTAGAACAGTCTTCAAATACTTGAGAGTCAAAACCTGGAAGTGTCACAATCCAAGGGACAGTGGATATCAGAACCAAGTAGGTAACTTGGAGGATCCAAATTTTATAAAAATTAATAGACTCAAGTGAAGGAAAAATAAATTAGATGAAATGAACTATTTCTTTATTCATAATTTTTATTTTTGTATATAAGTAAGATTTGTAATTAAATGGAATATTTTATATGGATTAAAAGACTTACCCTCCCCTTTTAAAGAAGGGCCTCCTTATAGTTACAAAAATATCTTTTCTGACCCTTTATAGGTAAACATTTTGCTTTAAAAAAGTTGACTGTGGGAAATTATTCAGCAGTGTATCATGTACAAGTCATTTAAAAGGATGTTTCTTACAATACCAAGATGATTAAGACATAGGCCGTACCGTCTAGGAGTTTGCAGTCTACTAACTGCAGGATGTATAACATTTGATAGTCTACAGAGCATTTTCAAGTACAAGTACATTTCAGTTAATCTCACAACTCTGTGAAAGAGGTAGTATTACCCCTGATTCCAGTTGTGGAGACATATTTAGAACATGGCTTTGTCCAAGGTAATGCTGTAACTGAGTTGCTGAACCAGAGTTTGAATCCAGGTCTTCTAGCTCTAAAGGCCTGAACAACTTCTGCTGGCTCACAGTTTCTCCACATGCATATGAGGAGGAATATGATGTGGTACAAGCTAATAATGACTAAGCACTATGTGTTTGGCACCGGACTAAGTGCTTTCCAATGTATTCATTCATTTATTCCTATGAAACAATAGCCCTGTTACACAGGGATTTTATTCTCATTCTACAGGCACAGTGATTGAGTAGCTTGCTCAATAAGTAGATGACTTTATATAAACATCTCTACGATTTGTGGAAGAGCTAAAATGATTTTCTAGTTGTTCATTAGTAATTATGATGGTGAATTTAAGATTGTTAGTATAGAATGATTAAGGAGGAAAGATCTAGTTTTATTTCCTTACCACACAGTGTGAATATCTCATGAAAGACCAAATTTATTAAGTGGTCATCTAAATTTTTTGTTGAACGTGAGAACGTGTACCCAAAAGACCAGTATTTTGTTCATATTTATTTCATCATTGATCACTATTCTTTTCCTTCCATAGCGGAGGGTGAACTGTACACATTTGGAGAACCTGAGTGTGGGAAGTTAGGTCTTCCCAGTGAGCAGCTGATCAGTCACAGAAAACCCCAGCTGGTATCTGGAATTTCCGAGAAAGTGATCCAAGTAGCTTGTGGTGGAGGGCACACTGTGGTTCTCACAGGTATGTGTGGAGCCTGCTGCCTGGTCCTTGCTTTCTTTGGTGGCTAAGGAAATGGCACTCCTTCTCTGGGTTGGCTTTTCACCTCTTTCCGTTAAGGCCCCATCTTTATTCCTATAAAACCAAAAACCAAACCCGTTGCTGTCAAGTCAGTTCCGACTCATAGCGACCCTATAGGACAGAGTAGAACTGCCCCATAGGGTTCCCAAGGCCGTAAATCTTTATGGAAGCAGACTGTCACATCTTTCTCCTGCAGAGCGGCTGGTGTGTTTGAACCACCGACCTTTCGGTTAGTAGCCAAGTGCTTTAACCACTGTGCCACCAGGGCTCCTGATACTTTATTCCTACAGTAATATATATTTATGGCCTATGGAAAAAACTTTAGGTAGAAAAAAATGAATTGTTGAATTGTTTCGCTAACATAATTGACACTTTCATGACGATAACATCTTTGATAGCAGCAAACAACAGTTTTTTGCTCATTCTCAAGGATACATTATTTTCTCATTTATAGAAAAAACGATTGCCGTCAGGTCGATTTCAACTCATAGCAACCCTATAGGACAGTGTAGAACTGCCCCTATAGGGTTTCCAAGGAGCACCTGATGGATTTGAACTGCTGACCTTTGGGTTAGCAGCCAAGCTCTTTACCACTATGCCACCAGGGCTCATGCTGTATAAAAAAACCCATTGCTGTTAAGTCAGTTCTGACTCATAGCGACCCTGTATGTATAGGTAGTCTGTATTTATCTAAAATTAACATTATTTTTCCTGAAATGCCTTCTTTGGAGCTCCCTGTTTATGCTGTTTTCTACATGTACTTGATAATTATATTCTTCTGATATTCACAACGTGTAACTTGGAAATTTCATTCCAATTTTTTTTTACATTTTATTGTACTTCAGGTGAAGGCTTACAGAAGAAATAGTTTCTCATGAAACAGTAGTACACGTTGTTTTATGACACTGGGTAACAACCCCACAACATATCAACCCTCTAAATTCTCAACCTTTTTTTTTTTTTTT